TGGGGCTGGCCCAGGTCTCAAGAGGTGTTAGTGGCAGAGCTGGATCTGGAACTCCTGGATGTCCTGATTCCTAGTCTCACTTGTCCTATGACAAATGAATCATTTCAGCAGAAGAACCTGGGTACTTGTTCCCAAACCTATCCCCTCAGGATTCTAAGTTAGTGAGTCTGGGTGAAGGGCCCAGGAATATGAATTTTAAGTCACCTCCTCTCCCACCAGGTGATTCTGCCAATGAATTAAGTTTGGGAAACACCAGGGAATGGGAAGGCCATATGAACAGAGGAGGAATAACAGAGGGTGCATAAAGCTCCTTTCACAAGGCAGGCACCCAAGCCCAGGAAGTAGCTCCTTCCTTCACCAAGGTAGCTGTTCTACTTGACTGTGGGAGCAAGTCAGAAGACACAGACTTCCTTAGTCTTGGAGCCCCGTGACTATTAGGAAAGAGGCATTAAAGGCCCAACAAAATTTACCTTTTAGGAAAGAGGCATCCAAGACTCTACCAAATTTCTCTGTTGTGCTTTGCTCTAATCCTGGAAGGCCTCCTGCTGACTCTGGAACATACTATGGCTCTCCCTCTTTGCTCCTTCATTCTAAGTTTTCCCTACTTCTCTATTCATCTAAGTATTAGCCTGTTATATTCTCTGACATGGGACTCAGGATAAAAACCTTGATTCATATATTCATTCATTAGTCAATTCATTCCACAGCAATTCTCAACACTAGTTAGGCATTAACTCCAACATACCAATGCAAACCATCTTGGATGGGCCTCAGGTTCCTTGTACAAAAGGTTCTTCAAGGGCAATGTGGTAATAATAAATACTGAAATGCATATAACTTCAAATTTAGCAATCCCACAGAATTCTAGGAATTTATCCTACAGATGATTAAAGGGTACTCATTACAGTACTGTTTATAAGAGTAAAGCTGAACATAGCCTGTGGTAGAGTCCTCTGGTCAACAGCAAGACCTCTGTAAAGTCAAATTCTAGCTCTGCTTCTGACCAGATGACTCTGGGAAGTCACTAAACCTTCCCAGATGCCAGTCTCCTCATCTGTAAAATGAGGAAGTAGTGAGACCTACCTCACAGAGCTATTGGGAGGGTTAAATGAGTAATAAAGGTAATGTACTGCTTGATATACAGGTAGGATTCTATAAATGTTACCTATTCTTACTACTAAGAAACCATTAATAACAATGAGATATACATGTATGTGCTGAATATGTAATGATCTTCAAGTTATTATTGTTCAAGTGAAAAAAAGCAACTGGTTAATATGCTCAGTGTTCTATGCAATAAAACAATCAAAACAATGAAAAAGCTGGAGGAAAAATATGACTATGTTCATACAGAATATCTCACAAAATACACACAAATTGGGAACATGGAAGTTTGGGAGGGAGACTTTACTTTTCGCCTTTCAAATGGTTTGTTTTTATCATAAGTTTTAAAAACAACTAAAGAACGAAAAATGCTCTAATAAATAAACAGCAATAAGCACAATGGTGAATCTGATAGGTAGTCAAGACTGGCACTCAGTGCTCATCCAACTGCCTGCTCAAGATGGGATTGTGAGGATATGTATAAGATACTGGCCTGCCCCAAAGCAACTCTCCATTCTGGGTGCAGAGCCATATTACAACCACGAAACTCCTGCCCCTGGTGCTAGAGCAGAGGGGAGTCCTCCCTGCTTGGGAGCGTGAAAAGGATATCAAATGGCTGAGCTCTGGACCTGCTGCAGCTAAGCTGGGTTACTGCTGCTCACTGTCTACCAGACTGGGACTTCAGCTGGTATGACTCCTGGCCTGAAGAACCATGTTCTCCTACAACCATGGTGCTTCTGCGATTTGTACCTAAAGACTGGGTAAAATACAGGTGACTGTTTCTAAGGCAGGTGGTCCCGGGGAGATGAGGGAAGCACGGCAGCTGTGGTTCCCCAAATCCTAATCCTAGCAGCCCATGCTGACTTCTTCACCTATACCCGTGGTTGGCAAACTGTGGCTTGTGAGCCACATGCGGCTCTTTGGCCCCTTGAGTGTGGCTCTTTCTAAGCCTTAGGAGTGCTCTAATTAAGTTATTAACAATGTACCTACTGATATAGTGTAAGTTTAAAAAATTTGGCTCTCAAAAGAAATTTCAACCGTTGTACTGTTGATATTTGGCATTGTTGACTAATGAGTTTGCCGACCACTGGCCTATACAATGAGGATAATGACAGTATCTATCTCATGGGTTTGTTGGGAGGACTACATGAGTTATTGACAATAAACACAACAATTTATATTTATTGAGTGTTTACTACATGACAGGCACTAGTCTCAGAGTTCACAATCACCTAGAAGGTAAAGTCAGTTATCAACTTGAGTTTAAAGACAAGGAAATCAAGGCTCAGAAAGGTTAAGTATGGCAATAACAGAACTGGGACGTTTGACTTTAGAGCCACCAAAGAACACTGCTTTCGAAGTTACTATAAAAGTAAAGCCAGGCCTGGCCGGTGTGGCTCAGTCATTGAGTGTCAACCTATGAACTAGGAGGTCACAGTTTGTGGGCTTGATCCCCAGTAAAGGGCAGCCATTGATTGGAGGCAGCCAATCAATGATTCTCTCATCATTGATGTTTCCATCTCTCTCTTCCCCTCCCTTCCTCTCTGGAAAAAAAAAAGTAAAGTCAGTACTTGGCTTGCTGTAAGGGCTCAGTGTGAACTATTATTATGGCGAAGAAGGTGGGAAGGGTCTAGACCAGCCGTGGGCAAACTACGGCCCGCGGGCCAGATCCGGCCCCTTTGAAACGAATAAAACTAAAAAAAAAAAAAAAGACCGTACCCTTTTATGTAATGACTATGGGCCCGGTGCACGAAATTCGTGCACCTGGTGTGTGTGTGGGGGGAGTGTCCCTCAGCCCAGCCTGCCCCCTCTCACATACTGGGAGCCCTCAGGCGTTGACCCCCATCACCCTCCAATCGCAGGATCGGCCCCTTGCCCAGGCCTGACGCCTCCGCCAGAGGTGTCAGGCTTGGACAGGGGACTCCCATCTCCCCCCGATCACTGGCTCTGGTCCCCGCCCAGGCCTGAGGCCTCTGGCCCCGGAATCATGCCTGGGCAGGGGACCCCCATCTCCCTCTGATCACTTGCTCCACTACCCATCCAAGCCTGACGCCTCTGACTCAGGCTTCAGGCCTGGGCAAGGGGACCATCATATCCCCCCAATCCCCGGCTCCGCCCCCCACCCAGGCCTGATGCCTCTGGCCCAGGCATCAGGCCTTGGCAGGGGACCCCCAGCTCCCCGCGGTTGCAGGCTCCGCCCCTGCCCAGGCCTAACGCCTCTGGCCTAGGCCTCCGGCCCGGGCAGCGGGGACCCGCAACTGCAGCAGCCCCGCGATTGTGGGCTTCGCTTTAGGCCCAGGCAAGGGACCCCTAGCTCCTGGGACTGCCAGCTTCGACCGTGCCCAGCTCCCATCGCTGGCTCCACCCCTACTTCCTGCTATCACTGGCCAGGGCGGCAAAAACTCCTGATTCTCCAATCATGGCTGGGGGGCAGGGCAAAGGCGGCCCTGGCCTGCCCCCCAGCTCTTAGCTCCCCCCTGGGTTTCTGATCACTGTCAGTGGCAGGGGGCTTCTTCCTGCTTTCCCTTTCGCCTTCCTGCATTGTGCCTACATATGCAAATTAACCGCCATCTTGTTGGCAGTTAACTGCCAATCTTAGTTGGCAGTTAACTGTCAATCTTAGTTGGCAGTTAATTTGCATATAGCCCTGATTAGCCAATGAAAAGGGTATTGGTCGTACGCCAATTACCATTTTTGTCTTTTATTAGATAAGATGTTTACTTTGAATTTATATTAGTTCACACAAATACTCCATCAATGCTTTTGTTCCGGCCCTCCGGTCCAGTTTAAGAACCCATTGTGGCCCTCGAGTCAAAAAGTTTGCCCACCCCTGGTCTAGACACACTTTACATGGGGTCCCTCTCTCCAGCTAGCTTTCAGGTGTGCATGACTCGACCTCTTCTCTCGCCTCCATCTCTCTCACCTGTTACCAAGGGCAACAGGTCTCCATCAGGCCTGTGGGGATCCAGAAGGCCAAAATGGCTTCAACAGAGTCTCTTGAGATGGTTCTCTTACCTGACTCCTGTTTATGCCCAGGGGCCTAGGGAGAGGTCCTAGAAAAATCTGGCTTACCCATACCAGTGCTAACCTCACAGGACAGAGCACTCTCTACTGCAGCAGTCACCAACCAGTGGTCCATGAGGTCCAAAAGGTTGGCGACCGCTGCTCTACTGAGTGGTAAGGGAACTGAAATGGACTAATCTTAAATTCAATATTCTCTTGAAGCTGTTTATGATTTAAGTCCAACTTATTTTTCAGGGGTTAAGGATAGTATAAGATGACTTGTAAATTTGGAAGAGTTCTAAAATATCCTCCTATCTCTGATGTCCTAGAGCAGGGGTCCTCAAACTACGGCCCGCGGGCCACATGCAAATACAAATATTGTATTTGTTCCCGTTTTGTTTTTTTACTTCAAAATAAGATATGTGCAGTGTGCATAGGAATTTGTTCATAGTTTTTTTTTTTAAACTATAGTCCGGCCCTCCAACAGTCTGAGGGACAGTGAACTGGCCCCGTTTAAAGTTTGAGGACCCCTGTCCTAGAGCCAGAAAATTGAATTAATGCTCCCCTTCAATCCCCCTTTCATAGGTAATGACTTTAGTCTGTTTGTTTCAACTTCACAGACAAGCCACCCTACATGATTCTTCCTTTGCTGTGGGTAGTTTCCAGTTTGCACTGCCCACCCTCAGAAGTCCCCCATTCCATGACTGAGGATAATTAGCAACAAAGCCCCAGGAAAGCCATGATGATAATTTGGGAGGTCAGGGACTCCCCACCCACCAAATCTAGAACCCACATTTCTTAGCACCATTGTTGGGTAGGCCTCCTCAACCATCTGACATCTGTTCCTGTTCTAGGTCTCCCTCCTACTCCCATCTCTGGGGATGGACACTTACCAGCACTGTTGGCCTCTGACTCCAGCAGGTGGATGTCATTGCAGTCCGCCAAGGAGTGTTCTAGACAGAGCTGCAGGAAGCGAGCCTGGGTGCGAGTGACCCGCTTCAGAAGTGACAGCAGGGCCACTGTCTGCTCACACTCATTCCAGCCCTTGAACCAGCCAGCGAGGATGCCCACCTGGTCTCGGAACATCATGGTGCCGGGCCTGGGGCCAGGGTGGGGGGTACGGCGGTGGCCAGGGCCAGCGCCGTCACATGGTCTCGGCTCCGGGTTCCTGTTACCTCTTCCCTGAAGGCCAGGGCTTAAGGACGTTCCCTGGCGTGGTGGCAATAGGTGGTGGGGGGAGGAAACCTGCTCACATCGGGGAAGGTCTTGGTCCAGCCACACCTCTCCAGGCTCCTGCAAAAGGAAGCAAGGGGTCAGATAGAATGAAGGAGCTGGAAATGACCTGGTGCTGAGGGGGGAAGGAGTCTTCATGCCTTTCTCTTTCAGGCTATCCACTCTGTGGAGCTCCCAGGAGAAAGGTGAAGCCAATACCAGATACTAAACCAACTATCCCTCCAATCTTCAGATCCAGAGAAAAGGCTTGATCAGGACTCAAGAGACCTACCCTAAGATGCTACCCCTCAGGCTTGGCTGTCATAGGGCCAAAAGATGTGAATTTATTTATTTATTTTATTTTTTAAAATATATTTTATTGAGTTTTTACAGAGAGGAAAGGAGAGAGATTAGAAACATCGATGAGAGAGAAACATCGACCAGCTGCCTCCTGCACACTCCCCACTGGGGATGTGCCCGCAACCAAGGTACATGCCCTTGACCGGAATTGAACCTGGGACCCTTCAGTCCGCAGGCCGACGCTCTATCCACTGAGCCAAACCGGTTTCAGCTGAATTTATTTATTAATAGATTTTAATTGGTTTCAGAGAGGATGGGAGAGGGAGAGAGAGAGATCGAAATATCAATGATGAGAGAGAAAATCATTGATCGGCTGTCTCCTGCATGGCCCCTACTGAAGATCGAGCCGGCAACCGAGGCATGTGCCCTTGACCAGAATCGAACCTGGGACCTTTCAGTCTGCAGGCTGACACTCTATCCATTGAGCCAAACCGACTAGAGCCAAAGGATGTGAATTTAAAGCAGAGAGTAAGTTGGTAAGGTTTTCCAGAAGTGGGAAATAGGAGAAGCTGCACATTATAGGAAAAAAATCTGAATTAATAGAGACCTGGCCCCAGGTGACTTGACTACACAGGCATATGACCCAAGCACATGCCCTGCCCTTGTTGGTCTCTGGCCACCTCCTCTGAGATCTGGACAAAGTGACTACGCACCTGCTGAAAGGACCCTTTGAAGTATTTATATTATTTCAAGCTAAGACTTACAAAGCTAGGATGTGGGTGGGTGGTGAGGTGGTGACAGCAGTGGAGATCTCAGGTATGTGAATACCTGATTAGTAACTGTCTGAGTACCTAAGGGTAAGGGTATGGATAGAGAGGCCTTTTCAGAGATCTCAAACAGGCTGGGGGTGGGGGGGAAAGGGTCACCTCCTCCACTCTAGCTCTTACTCTAGAAAAGGTGCAACTCTGATTTTAAGATCCCATCTATCTCTACTCTGAGGTGAATCTCTTCCAGCTCCCTTCTTCATTCCCCTGAAGACTAACCCTGACCAAAGTGCTCTGGGTGGTGAAGTCCCTTTGGCTCCCAGAGATCTGAGGATGTCACCTAAAAGCCAAGGGGATGTCAATCTGAGGACAAGGGGGACACTTCAAAAGTCAAAAACTCCCAAGTAAGAAAGTGTCCAAATTCATCTTAGGCAGGAACTATAAAGGAGCTGTGTCAACTGGACAGACAAAACAGGCCTGTTCGTCAGTTGACTGGTTTATGGACACTACTCTGATACGTTTTTCTGTTTCCAGCCAGGTCCCTATTCACATTTCCCATCTTTCTTGCTATCACTACCCTCGCCTCTACCCTCAAACCATATTCAGCTCCATCCCCCTCTTGCTGCCAAGAGGACTGAGAACTCCATACAAAGATCTATTGAAGCTGCTGTGCTCAGGTCTTAGGGAGCTACTGCCATCTCCTTGAACTTTCATGCTTCTGCTGAGGAAGGCTGCGAGGTACACTTGACAATGGCTGTGACTAATCTCAACAATCCTCTGTGGGACAACTGAACAGAGCAAACTGGCCTGGCTATCAATCCTTTGGATATAAAAAACAAGTGTGGAAGAAAATAGAACCTCCAAAATCTTTTTAAAAGGGAAATCAAATGTTGCCTCCCTGGCTTAAAATCCTCAATGACTTCCCATTGCACTTAAATAAAGCTTACACTAAACCTGAATGTCTTATCTTGTCCTACAGGACCCTGAAAGGTTCCTGTGGCCTCTCCAACTTATCTTGTACCAAGTTCTTTCTTATTTCCTGGAATCCTCTTCCCCCAGACCTATCTATAGCTGGCTCCTACTTATCACTTTAGGTCTTAGCTCTATGTCACTTCCTTAGAAAGATCTTCCCTGACCAATCTCACTCTCAGTCACTCTATTATGTTAAAAGTATTTCATTTCTATATAATTCAGCACCCTCAAATAACATCTTATTTATATTTGTTATTTTTCTCTTCCCCCCAAAATACAAGCTATATCATCATCACTCAGAGTCCAGACAATGACTGACACATAGAAGGTGTTCACAAATGAATGGATAAAAAAAGTGAGCATGGAAGTCACACTTGGGATTGCTACAGCCCTGGGGGAGAAGACAGAAAGAATGGCCCACAGGATGGTAAAGGGATTTGAAAATCATGAGAGAAAAATTTGAAGGCATTGAGGAAATTTCTCCTGGTGAAGGGAAGACTCAGGAGCAATTTCATAATTGACTTCAAATATCTGAAGAGGTAGCACACATAAGAGGAATTAGATTTATTTACTTACTCCAGAGGAGAACCTGGGTAGACATTTCTAAGTGAGAGGCAACACAGGATATGGGAAATGTTGAAAGTCAAGAAAATTCAGTTCTAGTCTTGCCTCAGAACAGATTCCCTTGGATCTTTGAGCTTGTCTGCTCTATTCTCTAGGTAGAATGTGTGAAATAAGCTAGATGGATCACACATGACAAAATAGGTTTTACTTCTCAGGCTAACTCAAATTCACTGGAAGTAGCTGCCTGGAGCACTGTGGTGAGAAGGATCCTGGAGCAATGAAACGATGGGGGAATGATTAATAATTTGGGCACACCTCAAGGAATGGGATATTATGTAGCTATTAAAAATATGCTTGCCCGGCCATGGTGGCTCAGTGGTTGAGCATCGACTATGAACCAGATCATCACGGTTTGATTCCTGGACAGGGCACATGCCCAGGTTGTGGGCTCGATCCCCAGTTGGGGGTGTTTCTATTTCTCTCCCCTCTTCCTTCCTCTCTGAAATCAATAAAAATATATTTTAAAAAAATGTTTGATTTTGATAGCACAATACAAAAAAAAATCTTTATATAGTGTTTGGTCTTTACTGACCTGGAGTAATGCCCATAAGCTGCATAGTAATATGTACAATGTGATGTCATTTTTTTGTAAAAAGAAAAAACAAGCCATATACAAAAACCATTATATATCATATCTGAATATATGTACACATATGTATATATGAATATAGAGAAATGTATAAAGGGATAGACCCCAAGGCTGTTCACACTGGTTACCTTGGAAAGGAGGAGGCATTATTAACACTCTCAACATAACTTTTTACTATTTCACTAGTTACAAGTAAACACATATTACTTCTATAAATTTTAGAGGAATTTAATTTAATTTTTAAAGTTTTAAGGGTACATGTTACTTGCTGGCTCAGTGAGAGAGTACTGATTATCAGTGCTTGCCCTGGATGTAGGATAGGTGAGTGGTAGCTCACGTGCCTGGCGACAGCCTTAATGTAAGGAAAAACTTTAAAATAATGTTATCTGTCCAAGAATGGAACTGGCTGCCACGTGAGGAGGTAGTAAGCTCTCTGGCTGCTGGAAGTGGTCAAGCGGAGGCTGAATGAACATCCCTCGGGAGTGGGAGGGATTCCTTCACTGGACAGCAGCTTATAAGATAGAAGACATGTTACTATTTCAGAGGGAACATTTGTGATGGGAGGTTTGATATGCCAACAGCATTTACTGCAAAAGATGACCAAACCCACAAACAGACCAAAGTTGTGCACATTCTTTTCCATAAACTCTTTTATTGAGTTGTTACTTTTCCTAAGCAACAGCACTGTGTGTCCCAAATAAACTGTTAACTGCACATCAACCCAGCTTCTTTCCACAAGTCAAATGCTAGAAGCAAAGCCTTGGAACAGAGCGGGGTCTCAAACATGATGCTTTACACCGCCAGGTTTTAAACAGCAGGCTGGTGAAGACTATGGTGAGCTGGAAAGCACATACCCTGTCTAAAGGGAGAAGTCAGTTTAGCTCTAATTAACTGGTGCCATGGGGGAATGTGGGTCTAGTACTGTTAGGTCTTTTATTTATTTTTTTAAAGAGAAACCAGAAATCTGTAATTTTAAATAAAATTCCTCTACTTTTAAATGTTAGAAATTAATTTGCATTAAAATAGCAACTATACGGAACAAAGCCTGTGGCTTATGGTCCTTTGACTAGATGGACACATACAGAGAAAAGACCAGAAGTCTCCTGATAACTATCCCTCGCTCAGGCCTCTCTGATTCACACCTTCAAGCCACACCACTACTCAGGAAACATGACTGATGGAGAGGATCTAGTACCCAAGAATAGGTTGGACAGTTCTCAATAAACCGTGGGGCTTTAGGCTAACAGTCAGTTTTAAGAATATAGTGTTAAAAAAAAAATCAGCCTTAAAGGAGGAATTCCTATGCTCTGGACCGAAAGATTTTTGCTCTGGATGATGACTGGATGGCCTTTTTCTATCAAAGGGCCAATTACCTCAATTTCCTGGGTGCCTGGCAGCAGTGAGAAAGTAAGACCTAGCTTGGTGAGATGGGTCAAGGGAGAGGCACAAGCATTGACTATTTCAAGGCCTCTTACTGTGATGGATTTTGGTGGATCTGCCTGCCAAATACGCATTCCTATCTTCTAGTACCAGCCCCATAAGATCCCTTTGGAAATTAACTGCCCTTCTTGGATCCAGAAGTAGACATGGAGTAAAGCCTAGACAAGGAAAAGTCCTCCTTGAACTTTTGCTGGAGCCCCTGGGGAAAACATGTTCTCTGTTAGGGTTGCCCAGATTACACCTCTCCTGATGCTACTGGTTGCCGCTTCTGCTACCTCACAGTGAGAGCCTGACATAGAATGAAGCCAACAAAGATGAATGCCGAATCAAGAAATTAGGGGAGGAAAATGGAGACCTGTTCACATTTGAAAACCTGCACACAGCAAGTCTAAAGCCCCCTAAC